TCTCTAGCAGGTGGCCCAATAACCTGACAGCAAACTGGGATTTCACACTAGGATTTATAGCTCTTTTATTAATCATAGTTTGTACTAATTGTGATCTGCTGTGATGTTTCAATTTACAAACTACAGTTTGTTGAGTAATGCTACCCCTTGTGGTTGCTGGGCCACAGAGACAGTGCTACTGATGTCCAACCTGCTGGGAGCCAGGAAGCAAGAAACAAACTTGCATTTGTTAGTTATATCCAGTAGGCTAACCAGAGTTTGTTGCCCAAATCACAGTTTAAACAATTCACAGTTTATTGTAATGTCAGAATTCAGACTATGAGGGGGTCAAGAACTGAATGATTATAGGTGTTTCCCATCCCTCTCTCTGAATGTGGATTTTGGTTTTGTTTTAAAACACCTTTCTACTTTTCTTTCAGCAGCTCCATTTTATGGAGACCATATGCTTACTACCAATATGTGGAAATATAGTATCTACAAAATAAGTGATCCAATGTCATTAACTCTCCCACGCTATCAGGCCTATTCAGGAAAGTAAATTCAATTTTTAATCCTACTTCAGTTGATGTTTGGTGACCTAGAATAACTCTGAATGTTGATTGAAGTGTAATCGTCATTCCTTGCAGTGTTGCCAACTTGGTGACTTTCCTGTCAGATCTAATGGTTTTTAAGTGCATTAACTAAATTCCTATCCATTAGTCAGCTGCTGCCAGAATGTTGAAAAGAATCAGCCAAACAGACCATATCACTCAATTCTTAGCCTATCTATCCTGGCTTCCAATTTGTTTCTGGACATAATTCGAGGTGCTGATGTTGACCTTTCAAGCCCTACATGGTTTGAGACCAGCATATCTGAAGAACCACCTATAAAATTACCCAACCACTACAGTTAGTCATCTTCCAAGTCCCTGCTTCTCATGCCCCACATTCTGAGATTAGGTGGATGGCAATCTAGGAGACGGCCTTCTCCATTTTGGCAATAAAACTATGGAATTCTGTCCCCAGGGAGATTTGTCTGTCCTCTTCTGTTGCCATCTTCTGCCAGCAGGTAAACCCTTTTTTCATTTCATGTTCCCTCAGCGATCTGTCCTTCCTGTTGTTTTTATGCCTTTGTATATATTTTAACTCTGGGTTTAATTGTTTTAATGATGTGTAGTTCTTTTTGGTTGGCTTTATGGTTTTAAAATGTGATTTTATTATGTATGTTTTAGTTTGTTAGCCACCTTGGTGGCACCTTGTAATTTTGCAAATTAAAAATAAATAGTGGTAATTTTCCTATGTTATTTTTTAAATTTTCATTGGGATTTCTGAATTGGATTGCAAGTTTAAAAAATACAATGCCTATTCAGAGGCAATTTTTACAAGAAGCTATGGAAGAAATGGGGAAGGAAATTAGTTAGAAGAAGAGATTGGATTTATACCCTGCCCTTCACTCAGAGTCTCTGAGTGGCTTACAAACTCCTTTCCCTTCCCCTCCCCACAACATTCACCTTGATAGAGCACTGAGAGAACTGTCCTTGAGAGAACAGCTCTGACAGAACTATGGCTTGCCCAAGGTCATCCAGCAGCTGCAAGTGGAGGAGCGGAGAATCAAACCCGGTTCTCCCAGATTAGAGTCCACACACTTAACCACTACATCAAACTGGCTCTCAAGTTAGCTCTCAAACAAAGAATAGAGGGAAAGTTTCAAAATGATGTTTTGAAAGAACATGATCAGACTTATAAGACTCTGGGTCAGTCACACTCTCTTACCATACTCTATTTCACAGGGTGGTGGTTGTGAAAATAAATGGAGGACAGGAGAATGGCACTCCAAGCCACTTTGGGTCATCATTAGGGAGAAAAACAGCATATAAATATCTAAGCAATCTAAATTAATACATTTTTCTATAGCTAGTGTGATGAAATATTAAGGGTTAACATACTGTCAGAGTCTGAGAATCTCTGAGTGACAGGCAGTTCAAATGGAATTCTGTTGAGTGTCAGTTCAGAAATGACAGTTGGGAACTAACAGATGAAGAAGAGACAGTTTAGCACTGATTGAAGACTGGGAAAGAGGCTGAGGGAGTAAATGGATCACAGTGGATCCCCATTCAAGCAGAAAAGGGATAGAGTTTCTGGTCAAGAGAAGTAATCCTTGCCCTGTGGAAAGGCAAATAGCTCTAAAACAAGGAGTGATCCCTGGTCTGTATATATAGAAGGATTTGGGGAACTTGGTTGTATGTTCCTGCCTTCTGAACCTTAAGAGTCACTGAAACTCAGGAATTTATGCTTGAGTGTTTAAGCAGACACTGAAAAGAAAGCCTCTCTCCTCAAAGTTTCAAAGACCTTGTTAAAAAACAAAAACACTTACTTGTTGGCAACATATTATCTGAATTTAGTGTGATTACTAAAATACCTCAGTTTTTATTATTGGTTCACCTCATAATCCTACCCATAATTCCCCATGACCTTTTTATCTCCAAGTTAAATGTTTTGTTTATTTTGAAGTTTCAAAAGCTTCTTATGTGCCATTACAGAAGTAGAATATAAGACAGTGATTTTGTCTCTTCCCTCAAGTCCCTGGTCTGGGTCAGCATCAAAATATATAACGTGACAGGGTGGGACAGCTATAGACCAAGAAAAAAGAACAAAATAAATATAGGGGTTGCTCAGCAAGAAAGAAGAAACCAAGGGAAAATCTTGTGTGTGAGGGAGGGAAGAGGGCGAGATCACCATAGCTAGTTTGTGGTTTTATGACATGAAATTATACTGAAACAGCATATGTACAAAGAGGCACATCTCATTGCCTCTCCTGTTATTGGAAGCCTGACATATTCTCATGATTGTTCACATTGCTGGTAATATGGTGATGGATTGCAAACTCATGTCCAAGTTGGATGTATTTTTGTTGGGTTTTGCAAGTATCATCCCTTCAGTCATGGAAAGGTTAAGCTGAAGTTTCTGTAAGCTAATACTAGTAAGTTTAGCATAGAACCAATTAGGAGTAGAATGGATTCTTCTCACCAAAAAGGGTGTGTTTTTATTCTTAATGAGGTGGCCTTAAGATTGATGATTGGATAATCAATATATTGGAGATAGTTCGTGTTATTTTGCACATACACAAGGGGTGGAGCTTTGGGGGGAAACTTCCATTCTTTCCTTCTTGGGGTCAAAGGGAACAAAGAAACAAGATGGAATAGATCTGAACTAGAAAGATGAATTAGATTGTTGTTGTTTTCTTTCCATGTAATCCTTTCCCTAATTTTGAAATAAACTTTTTATTAGAAGTTAAACACACACGTCTGTGTTGCATTATTCCACTGCACTTCATTTACTCTGCTAAATGTCTAATAATTTTGCTGCCATATATTATGTGGGCCGGAGGACTCCCCGCCTGCAATTAGAATAAAATTGATTAACATTCTCATTACGACACTGGCTTCAGTGGGAAGGAAACATTCTCATTACGACAGCTAAATTAGTAATAGCTCAACAATGGAAACAACAAACACCACCAACAGTACAACAATGGTTCGACAAAACATGGGATATATATATGCTGGAAAACTTCTCTATACATGACACAACACACCAACATGAAGTGGAATTTTATAACCCATTAAATATATGGTATCCCATTCTGGATAAAATTAACATAAATAAATTTGATTGGGAAAACATCTCAGAAGCGAAATACAAGTTAATGCTTTATAATTGAACTATAATACCTTGTCACCAATATGTATGCATATGCTCATACCTTATATCCATAATGTTATATCTTGCTGCTCAAATTTGTTTACTTCTGTGTTTTGTAATTTGTTTATAAAAATTAAAAATAATAATAATTAAAAAAATATTATGTGGGGCTCTCTAGGATGCTTGCTGCCTTTATTTGTGGTATATTTGTATATTCATGGAGTTTGTTTGTGAAAGGTTTTCTTCATATAACACAATGTTTGTGCTTTCTATAATAAAATGGTAGGGAAAATGGAAATGTATTAATTGAAAGGGAAGGTTGGAAATTATATTTCAAAGACTACTTGCAGGAGCTACATGGGAGATCCATTTAGTTATATATGAAGAAGAATTAGAAATTAGTAAAAGAACTGATTGGTTTGCAGATCTTACACACTGCTACAAGTAATGCTGAAATATTATCTCTCTTGGTAACAGCAAGGGGGCAATTAAACAATACTAGTCAGAAGAACAGACTATCTCATTAAATTGGCTGGCAGCAGACTACTTAGTAAACCAATAAATTAGATGTGGTCTTGGAACTCTTAGTGCAAAATAGGACCCTAACAAGAACAAAAAGAATAATAGAAGACACAACCAAATTGTCTACAAATTGTAATATTTTATAAGTTTTATTCAAATAATTCACATTGGAGACAGAGAAAGATTTGATTATTAGATATGTATGGAAAGGATTCCATTGTACTACATTAACACCCAGAGAGCAACAAAATGAAAAACTGAGCTACCTTCAAGATTGTGTTGAATTGCTGTCTCTAAACTAACTGTATTTCAAAATTTGCACAGCATTGCATTAATTGCTAGAGTAGCTCCACTGCTAATCTGATTCGTTTGCTGCCATTACAAATAACTGGGACAAAATTAAAACAGGTTGGTTTTTAAGTACTACATGGCTGTACACATACTAGATATGTACATGTATAATTATTAAACAATTTACACAAGTGGATTGCATTGAAGCAACATTGAACAGGGAGCAGGTCAGCTTATATCCTTCCTTGTTTTTCTCACATCAAGCATTATTTTCTCACATCATGCTTATAATCCAGAGCAAAGGACTACTGTGGGAAAGACTTCGAGGTTTGTCTACATTAGTGTACTTTCCAAGAACTACAAATGAGTAATCAAATACTTTTTATTTGTTTAGTCTCAAAGGAGGCTAAAAAGCTACTTACAGTACGTAAAAGAGAAAGTTTCTCTAGCTTCTACCTGCAGGACCCCAGAGAGCAATTGAAGCGCACAGCTAGAAGATCAGCATCATGCCTGGAATTACTGGCACCAACATCCGTGTTGTCCCTGGGCAGCGTATTGCTGTGAAAGGAGACATTCCAGCAGAAGCTAAGAGTTTTGTGGTTAATCTGGGCAAAAAAGATGATGAACTCATCATACACTTCAACCCACGTTTTGATGCTCACGGCGGTGTGAGGACCATCGTATGCAACAGCAAGAGCGGTGCCCAGTGGGGGAAAGAACACAGGGAGAGCAGTTTTCCCTTCCAGGAGGGCACCACTGCAGAGATCATTTTCTCTCATGGCAAAAATGAGTTGACTGTTACGCTGCCTGCCAACACTCAGTTCAAGGTCCCCAACAGCTCTGGGCTATGAAGGCATCGAATATATCTGTGTAAACGGTGACATCGCATTCAAGGGCCTCTCGCTTATTTAACTGTCTTGGTTCTCTCCTAGTTACTTTTCCTGCTTCACAAGGCAGAAAAATAAACTCAACTGCATTTTAGTCTTTTTTTTAAAAAAGTAAAACAGGTGGCAGTCACACGCGCGAGATAACGCGTGCGGGGGGAGGAAGCGAGGCTATTTCCTCCGGAGGAATTTGACCCGCAGTTGCATGATCACACAGTCCTTTGAAGCTGCGGGGGCAGCCTGCCATTGCATGATCAGACGCAACTGCAGGTGAGTCGGGGTGGGTTTTTTGCCGTTTGTTCCCAATGCGCTTAAATGGGGAATCGATGAATCGCATCTCAGCACAGAGGGCTCCTTATGGAGTGTGCGATGATGTGCATACTGAGAAGGGGAAAAAACAACGACACAGAGTTGGGATGGCCTGATCAGACCATCCCGACACCATGAGAGCACGCTGGAGCAATTAGACAGGGGAAAGTCTGTCCGTGGCCCGTAGCAACCTGCTTGCTACCTGACTTTCCCTAGTGTCTTTTTACTCCTCTTCTGCAGCAGAGCAAAATGGGTTGCTGATGGGTGCAGGGCACTTCCCAGATGTTTGTGGCTGATTGTGCCCTTTAAATTTGCCCAGTATTCACGCCTATGGTGTGACTAATTGTGCATGTGATTGCACTCAGAGAAAGTTTCTGCATGCAGATTGGGTCTCTCTGCTAGCAGATCTTCCTGACAGCTCTAGGCTACAACTAGAGCAGACAGCCAAGCAGCACGAGTTTTTTTGGTTCAGGCAACACTCAAATTGATTACCATAGAATTTTGGGGGAGCCCTAGAGTGTCCCTCTGACACAGTGATGCCACTTCTGAATTTGCTCTGGAAATGATGTTTCAGCATGACATGAATTTCCCATCATTTACCTCCAGCTGTTGTGAACAGTGGGAGGCCAGGGCCAGAATGGCTGCAGCAGGGGGCCTGGTCTCCCTGGATACAATCCTCAAGTTAAGGCCCAAAAGTCAAGAGACCTTTAGGCTTCACCTTTGGGCTTCACCTATTATCAGAAGAAAAACAAACATAGCTAAATCTTAGTCAGCTGCTGGTAGCCAGCAACCAGGGTCTTCCCCACTTCCTCCTCTGCTAACAAATAATAGGGGTGTGCATAATGAAATTGCCAAGCAGAAAGAAACAAAAGAAACATATGCAGAGTTTTCAGAGGAAAGGTAACAGTGGAAAAATCCAAACTTTGTTTTAATGCCAAGGGCAGCCAGAGCTCTGCTGCAACTGCCATTTTAGGAATCAGTGAAGTGTGCACTGTTGTTACCCAAAGTGGTTGTGAGGATTTCTTGAGTTTGTTGGGAAATTAGGCAGGAAACACAGACAATGCAAGAGGGGGTAATCAAGCAGGATCTCCACTTATGTTTACGGGGATTTTTCCCTCAGTAGAACTCTCAAAATGAACCAGGCTGTGATTAATGAAATGGTTTTTATTAAAGAAAACTAAGGAATAAAATCAAAACTTATTAATTGAAATTCACAATATGAACACACATACAGGTTCATAAATAAGGGTGGTAGCTTACAGAGACAAAGAAGGGAACTTATTCTATGGGACTATATTTACCTATCCAAGCAGCAAAGATCCAAGAAGAAAGACGAGCAAAACGAACCAGTGTCTCACTCTAAGCATGGTGCCCAACCTTTTTGGTGGGGGTGTAGGTTGATGGACGTCCAGATACACACACCAATTACTGAACAACCCGTGTCTGGTTATATGCCTTGGAGTATGACGTGATTGCTCCTAGAACAATACTGTGATGGTGTGAATGAAACAATGTTGTTTGAGCCAGGAAACATCATAACATTCCCAGGAGTTGTAAGTGCAATGTAACTTTTATGTGAAATGTCTATTGTGTTTGGTGACCTCTATTTTACCAGGACAAGACAACTATTACACAAAGGATTATGGGATTAAAATGGTTTTTACTAGGTTTTTACTTAGGATGGTCAGGCAGGGAAAGGTCAGGCAGGATAGGGAATTGGTTAAATTTACTGTCCTTTTTTGAGAAAATCAATCTTTGACATTGATGGATTTAAAGAGGGAAGAGAACTGCCAAAAACCAGACCTTTGCACCTTTAGGATCAGTTTTCAGACATGCCTCTGGCCAATATTTGATGGCACACATTCCATGTGACTGTAGGATCTATTTTGATCTCTTGTTTGCAGACCAGGGATGAGTCTTGAATGATTAACCCTGTGAAATGCTAAGAGAGGGAAGGTTGCTTGGGTCACCTGTTTATACGTACCAAGCTCGTCCTTCCAAGTGAGGAGGGGGTCGAGACCTAACAATCCCCCCCAGTGAAGTCATCAATGACGCAGTCTGGTGGCTTCACTCCATTAAATGTCGAAGAAGATGTCTTCTAGACAGAGAGGAGTGTGAGGTGTATATAGGAACAAGTCAAAAGGCGAGAAGGTATTTGGAAAGAGATCACCAACTATAAAAATATGTATAAGCCAATAAAAAAAGGAAAAATCTTTTTGGATGTATAATATGTTGTGAATTGTTCTTCTCCACGGATCTGTGCCTAAAGATATATTTATTTAATGAAATAAAACACATTTAAAACTTAACTTAATCAATATAATCTAATTATATGTTGCATAACTTAATTGTTAAATCATTTTACTAATTATTATGCTTATAAAAATAAAATAAAATAAACCTTAACTAAATTACCCAATCACAAAGCTAATGATATATGATCAAACAATGGATTAAAAGCATTAAAAGGTATCAAAATATTATAAAGGTAATAATTAGAATAGGCTACAAAATAATCAAATAAATGGCAATGAATTAGAACAATGGATACTATGGTATTAAAATATTTGATACAGAATACGAAGGGTAAGAGATCAGTGGTTACATATAAGAAAATCATTTATACAAGCATCTGTTTAGAGGGTGTGTGAAGCGGAGATTTGGCCAGAGGGGTCTCACCGTCCCTCTAAAAACACCTCTGCAAACTTGCGGGTGAAGCGTGAAGATAACAGCTCTTCCCCTGCCCCTAGGATGTAGCACTCAGAGCTCTTATTTTCTCTAAAACGCTTGCATCAGCCAGAGTGGCTTCCGTTGCTTGAAGTGGGAGGCATAACAATCAGTACACAATTGGGGCCTCTAAAAAGGCAGTGACGATTCAGTGAGTCATGGCAGCGAATTTAAGGAGTGAGATACACGCACCGGATGAGGGTGGGAGGCAAACAGCTGAGTGGTAAACTGGAGCCCATTTCACCACAGTAGCCAACCAAGCTCGGTTCAGGCAAAGGAACAAAACCCTTTGCAGGCCTTTGTGAGGAACTAATTGGGGCCAGTACTGAGTCTAGGGTTGCCAGCTACAAGTAGGGATATTCCTGGAGATTTTCTGGAAGAGTCTATGGAAGCCAGGGTTTGGGGAGGGGAGAGGCCTCAGCTGAACAGAATGCCATACAGCCCACCTTCTAGAACAGTTATTTTTTCCAGGGGGGGGATCTGTTGAGTGGAGTTCAGTTGTGATACTTGGTGATCCTCAGGCTCCACCTGGAGGTTGGCTGCCCTAGGCGTAGTGGTCAGTGCTTCAGAGCAGGATCTGCTAGATCCAGGTTCTTGCTGTAGAAGCTGAGTGGGTGACTTTGGACCGTTCACAGACTTTCAGCCTAACCTACCTCACAGGGTTGTTGTGCAAGTCAAAAGGGGGAGAGGAGAATGAAGTAATCCGATTTGGTCCCCATTGCAGAGAAAGACTAATTTTCCTCCTGGAAAACCATTGTTGCCAATCTCCAGGTGAGGGCTGGAGACCACTCAGAATTAAAACTGCTCTCCAGATGGCAGAGATCAGTTCCCCTGGAGAAAATGGTGGACTCTGTGGCAGTCAGAACTTCAGAGCATGGAAAATGGTGGACTCTGGCAGTCAGGGCTTCAGAGCATGAAAGAGGCTGCAGGTGTGTGTGTGGAGGGAATGGAAAGCTGAAGAGAGAGGTGGAAATAAAGGTAGGTTGAAGATTAGCTGGGAAGGAAATAGGGTTGCCAACTCCAGGTGGGAAATTCCTGGAGATTTGAGGGATGGAACCAGGAGAGGGTGAGGTTTGAGGAGGGGTGGGACCTCAGAAAGGTACAATGTCATAGACTCTACCCTCCCAACCAGCCATTCCCTTCTGGGGAATCACTGTTCCCAATCTCAGGAGAGGGATGGAAATCACTCAGAATTACAACTGATCTCCAGGAGGGAGGGAGGAAGAGATGCAAAGCTGAAATCAGAGGGGCAGATAATGGCAGGTTGATGCTTGGCTGGGAAGGAGATAGGGTTGTCAACTCCAGGTTGGGAAATTCATGGAGATTTGTGGGGTGGAGCCTGGAGAGGGTGAGGTTTGAGGAGGGGTGGGACCTCAGACAGGTACAATGCCATAGACCCCACCCTCCAAACCAGCCATTTCCTCCTGAGTAACAATTGTTGCCAATCTCCAGGTGAGGGCTGTAGATCACCGAAAATTACAACTGCTCTTCAAGTAGCAGAGATCAGTTTCTCTGGAGAAAATGGTGGACTCTGTGTCATTATACCCTGCTGAGGTCGCCACAACACATTGATGCTGAGTGCCCAAGGCCTTGGCACTCTCCAAGAGCCTCTTTCTAGAGCTCATTGTATTTATTTCCACAACAGGCCTTATTCCTAGTTACTTTTATAAATGGGTGCCCCAGAGACCCTCACATCCCTTCTCTATTGAAAATAATGATCCCAAATTCAAAAACTACATGGGTTTGAATCCAGAAACAGTAATATTCTACCTGAAAACAAGGAGACACAGACATCCCCCCCGTCTGGATCCAGAATTATAACATTTTTCTCGAGGCACACCCCTAACAAAAAAAATCAAAGCACCTTTACAGTGCAGGGAAAGGATCTGGTTTGACCATGTAGCAGTAATTACGAAGCTCTCTCTATATGT